TTTTCAGGTAAAATTTATAATAAACACATACACACACGCACATAACAAATATAAATAGTACAATTTTCTACTTTTTTATAGCAAACCTTTAATTTGTCTCTGGAATTGTATATTTAAGAAAATGAAAATTAGACTATCCTTAAAAGCCGGGGTGCCAACGCGAATCCGATTTTAGTCATGAAACAAGGTCTAATTAAAAAGCCCGAAGAAAAATTGTGGAAAAACAAGTCTTAATTCAAGCAGCCATTTATTCAATGAATTCAGGGCTTACGTCTCCAAAACAATGAGACGNAAACCTTTAATTTGTCTCTGGAATTGTATATTTAAGAAAATGAAAATTAGACTATCCTTAAAAGCCGGGGTGCCAACGCGAATCCGATTTTAGTCATGAAACAAGGTCTAATTAAAAAGCCCGAAGAAAAATTGTGGAAAAACAAGTCTTAATTCAAGCAGCCATTTATTCAATGAATTCAGGGCTTACGTCTCCAAAACAATGAGACGGCTATTTGCTTAATTTATTTTATTTAACAGATTCTACTAAGATAATTTCAGTTAGAATTTTCTGTTTGTTTTATTCAAAAATTAATTTGTTCCACAAATAGCTGCCATTTCATTTTCTGAACTCCTCTTCCCATCCCTGCTACCGATCTACCCAATTTTCGGAAATGTAGGTACATCGTTGTTAGTTCATGCGTTTCGGTTTGAAGGGTGGAACAACCGTTGTAACTATACTGAGACCTTAGACATTATATCTCAGGGTAGGTTGCGGCATTTATGTTGTAGATGTCTATGGGCTCCGGTAACTACTTAACACCAGCTCGTCTAACCACCTAAGCAATAAATATATCACCGTCGACAAAACTAAATTTTGTGGTAAAAGTGATTGTTTAAGAAGATAAACTAAAAATCGTATTCATAAAGAAACTATGATGAAACATTTATATATTTAGGCGAACATATTTGTGTACAATAAATTCTTAATAAATAAAGATAGAGAAATATTATTTATTCTCTAGTTTTCCTTAGAGAATGGTATATTGTTGATTTGTAGTATATTGAAAGAATACTGTTTTCCAAATAACTACATAAACTAGTCATGTAATTGTTTTTATAACTTCACGTGCAGCTAAAAGCCGAAAATTATTTAGAACACATTTTGTAATGTCGTGCAGTCAGGATATAACGAAAAATTATTCATAATGTATAGGTAATCATAGAGTACACGATTTTTTGTCACGCGATGTATTAGTGAGCCAGTTTTTTTACAAATTTGGATTAAAGCTAAGCGTAACTATGTAATATCATGTTACTCAGAAGTTCCAAAATTAAAATGAATGAATACAGAATTTTTTTTTTATTGCCAAGATGGGTGGATGAGCTCACAGGCCACCTGGTGTTAAGTGCTACTGGAGCTCATAGACATCTACAACGTAAATGCGCCACCCACCTTGAGATATAGGTTCTAAGATCTCAGTATAGTTACAACGGCCGCCCCACCCTTCAAACCGAAACGCATTACTACTTCACGTCGGAAATAAGCAAGGCGGTGGTACCTACTCATGCGGACTCACAAGAGGTCCTACCACCAGTGAAGCCAGTTTACTGGGTCGACGGTTTGAATGAAGATACCAAAACCTATCTTCATTTTATAGACATTTATGACTAAACTCTGCTCTGCTCTAAGGAATTGTTTGAGATGATCCCCTCATCTCCTTTTTATCATCGCACCTCCCGCCATCGGAGCAGAGTTCATCCATATTATCTGTAACCGCTGCGTTCATCGACAGTGCGTTTCCAGAGGTCTTGTTTGCCACGTACCATCCGGCTATGGAATGAGCCCTCCCCTCCACGGTGTTTCCCGAGCGCTATGACATGTCCTTCTTCAAAAGAGGCTTGTGGAGAATATTAAGCGGTAGGCAGCGGCTTGGCTCTGCCCCTGGAATTGTTGAAGTTCATGGGCGACGGTAACCATTCACCATCAGGTGGGCCGTATGCTCGTCTGGCCACAGGGGCAATAAAAGAGAAAAAAAAAACTTTTGTTTATGGTTCATCGATTTGGAAGTACATATTTTTAGTAGATAGTATGTACTCATAATTATAAAGCTTATCGCAAAATTTCAAGTTGCGGAAACTCACAGTTTAAGAGATATAATTTTTAAAGTTTCCATACAATTTGGTAAAATCGTCAATGTAGACGTCAAAGTTGACGTTTCACGTTCCATTCACGGTAGAGACTTATTTTATTCAATTTTATATCATTTTCTTTTCCTAAACATATTTTGTTATTTCAATATATTCACATATTAAATTTTGGTGTAATTAATGTGCACAGTAATTGTTCCTGTAGTATGCAAGTATATTGCCTTTTTTACACAAAAAATAACGAATTGTATTTATACTGTGGAACGGAACGTGAAATGACGAATTTTTATAGCGTCTTTTTAGCTCTGTAATTATCTTTATGCATTAGATTATAAATAACAATAATAACTACTCGTGTTTTAACAATAAAATTACATGAATATCCGAAATATATTTAAAACCGAATCGGAGCACCCCACTTCCCACATGGTCTTATCTGACCTAACCCTAAGAGTGTATATAAAAAACCGGAGGCACGGAGGGAGAGCAGTCCTCGCCTGCTGTGACGAAACACGGGAACTGTGCGAGGTGGAACGGCTGAGGCTGTACCGTCAAGCCAAACCGTCAACCGTCACCTCACGCTCCGCCCCGCAGCTTTGGGAGGGAGAGGAGAGGGAAGGTCCCTCCGAGTTTGACTAAATAGTGCTTGGTTATAAATATTAACCATGGATATCTTCATAACCATGGGGTTCCGCAGGTTGGGGATGGTACAGGGGGTAAGCCCTTAATCATTTTTATTCCTACTCATTAAAGCACGGAAAGCTCCCTGTCACATCAACGCATTTATGAAGAATCCACGACTACCAAAAGAAAATGGTAACGTTTTCGGCCGTATATCAATAATAATTATGCATGCATTTATACATGTATGCATCTATATGCAATTCTTAGGCTAACTCTAGAACCTAAACTTTTTAACGCATTTTAAAATATGAGCTGTCTTTAAGTTCGTCTCAATTCTGTTATGACATAGGGTATATTATTTCAAAATGATATCCGTGAAAATTAAGATTACTTCGAAACGGGTATTGCAAAAATTCCTATAATCTTTGAGCTCTCCGTATTTAACCAGAGTAATTAATTTAAAAATGTTTAAAAAAAAGGGTGTCGCTTAATTTTTTTAAATTTAGGATGCCATTTTTTTATAGTTAACATTTTTACTAAAAAAATACGGAGCTAACTTTACTTTGTAGAAACTGCTTATAAATATCAAATGAAGTTCCAATATAGCTTCACAATTCAGTTTATATATCATAGTAATCAAGAGTTTAAAAGATTGTTCACTCCGGTCCGCGCGTATGTGCAGTAACTCCTTAAACTACTAGAGAATAGATAGATGAAAAATAAATTTGTTCACTGAAGTATCAGCACCGGTGAGTGTTAGCACGTAAGTGTTAGTTAACCGTGGCCTAAAGGATAAGACGTCCGGTGCATTCGTATCTAGCGATGCACCGGGGTTCGAATCCCGCAGGCGGATAACAATTTTTCCAATGAAATACGTACTTAATTAATGTTCACGATCGACTTCCACGGTGAAGGAATAACATCGTGTAATAAAAGTCAAACCCGCAAAAAAAAATTATAATTTGCGTAATTACTGGTAGTAGGACCTCTTGTGAGTCCGCACGGGTAGGTACCACCACCCCACCTATTTCTACCGTGAAGCAGTAATGCGTTTCGGCTTGAAGGGTGGGCCAACCGTTGTAATCATACTGAAATCTTAGGACTTACATCTGAAGGTGGGTGGCGCATTTACGTTGCAAATGTCTATGGGCTCCAGTAACCACTTAACACCAGTCGGGCTGCGAGCTCGTCCACCCATCTAAGCAATTAAACAAAAAAAATAGTAAACCGAGATATTTACGGTTCAACTGTTGGGAAGCGTTTGATTATTGGCGCCCTTAAACAGAACTTTAATTACTTGACTCATCGGAACGCATGCTTGTAACAATTACAATAGCTATAAGAAAATGTCGATATGTTTCTTACAGATATAGTAATTAAGTAATAATTCAATTAATTAATAATTTAATTAATTAATAATTTAATTAATTAATAATTTAATTAATTAATAATTTAATTAACTAATAATTTAATTAATTAATAATTTAATTAACTAATAATTTAATTAATTAATAATTTAATTAACTAATAGTTTAAAAGCAATACCAATAATAAGAATTTAATAAAAGCACAATTAAGTAAAACAACGTTCAAATTTAGTTTATATTGAAGATATTTTATTTAAGTAATTTACGATGACGTTAATAAGATACCTTAATATTACATTATAGACTAATACAATCATATTACTTCTGCTCAAAACTAAAAATATACATACATATGTATACATACACTTCACAACTATTGGATATAAATTCTAACATGAATTTGTCATATGAAAACAGATATCACAACGATATCTCGTCATTTCCATTTGATGCATGCAAAAATACACATTTCATACTAAATAGAGAACATATTACATCATTTTAAATACTTTATCGTTAAATTATAAATAAAAAGTAAATTATTATTATGAATTAAGATCTTCTAGTTACATCTAAAAATGAAGATGACAGATGATTGTTATTGTTATTTTTTTGTTAATAATAATGAAACTTAGATCATTACATCTTAATTACTATTGCTACATGAAAATCAGATTACACATTAAAATTTAACGTGTCTTAAAATGTTTGAAATAAACACACAAAATTTAATTATTCGGATATTGGTGTATTGAGTTTCAAATGGAATCATAAAACGTATCGCCAACAGACGGAACAGATCTGCTAGAAACATAACTGCTTCTTTCACTATGAGATCAGACGACACATGCTCAATTATTTTTTTTGTTGTATTAACAGGCAAATGAGTTTACGGCCAAACTGCACTTCTAAACAATAGAACTTGAATGCCATCGTCTAATGAGGCATGTGGTCCAAGCCTCAATCAAATTAGAACAACTGCACTACCCTTTGCACTATTGCCTCGCGACCGAAATCCGTATACTGTAAGTACGTTCAGTACAACTAAGAGTTACACGGGTGAATATTTGGAACAAACACAACGCGTATCTCTTTGGTACGATTTCACATTGACGTTGGCGACCAGAAGTTCATTTCGCGCAATTCAGACGGTTTCGGGAGGAAGGAATGATTCGGTTTTGTTTTCGTTGGAGACGCGTGCTGCTGGTGGGGATTCTCGGGTGCTTTGTTCTTCGGAGCCGGACCGAGGCTCTCCACTGACTCCGCCAAGCTGCCCGCTAAAAACATCAACATTAACATGATCATTAATTATCCTGATTGACAGTTATATTGGGTGACCGATAAACAAGGAGCTAGGCGAGACAACATAGCGTAGAGGGTAGAATTTGAGCCATGTAGTAAAAATCAGCATTATGTATACAAACAAGGACAAGTGTGATCTAAAACAAAATTATGCTATACATTTTTATGACTAAATAATTTAATACTACATTGTAATTTCAGTTATTTTTGTAAATTCATGTAAGAGATCATGGGTCTTTAAACCAATCAACATTTGTGACCTACATTAATCTATAATTCTATTCTAATCTACATTAATATAAACTAGCCCAGAATTATAGTATCTTTAGGCTCAAATATTCTTCTTAAGCCTTTCGGGGCGGAGAATGATTTCCCGAAGAGTGATTATCTTTTGCTACGTAAAGCGCACTAGTTAGAAGAATTGTGTATATTATATTTTGTCACCTCATTATTTTTTAATACGCTTTTATTAGCTTCAGACGTATGTATGTTAGTATGTAACTGAATCTTTGAACATGATTTTGACCGCCTTCAAAACGTCGGATTAACTAGAAATTTGGTAGACTTATTAAGGAACGAAGAAAAAAAAAATATTAAAAAAAAATGAAAAAGAAAATTAAAAGAATTGAAATTCAACTAAAAAAAGAAGAAAAAAATAGGTTAAAAAAACTAACAAAATACGCTTTTATAGAATATCCAACTAAATAGAAAATAAATTTTAAAAAATTTGAATTAAAAATAGTGTAAGAAAAATGATTTTATTGTAAAAAAAGCGTGAGGTGCATGGTATCAGTAGTTAGTTGGATTTTCTATAAAAGTGTATTTTGTTAGTTTTTTTTAAACTATTATTTATTTCATTTATAAAAATATATTATGCTCTCCTCACTATATATTGAGCTGTAGCTGAAGCTAAATTCAAATGAAATGAATTCTTAATTTTTTTCGACCATATATATCATCATACCAGCAATAGTTTATTAATTTTTTTTATATTAATAAGCACCAGAAAAGAGTCATGAATTTCAGTCTAATTTGTTTATTATAAACAAAAATGAGGGTAGGTATATGTCATTTATATTATTTATGCAAATCGTAGACAAAATTAAAGCTACTTTTACGGTATCATCTCGCATATATTGTACAACGGTAAAGACTTGTTCTAGTCTGAAATAATTTAACATCAACGAAAAAGTATTCTTTTAGTCATTTTATTATTATATCCAAGGTTATCAAAACCTGATATTTGTGATAGTGAGTGAGTGCATTGATATCGCGCTGTGAAATTTTCACAATACTTTACATCGGCATAACAAAAATGACGCAATTAAGACGCCTTGTAAATCATGTTCACATTAGATAATTGTTACTTTGTATTTTATCTAAACAAAATTTTAAATTTGTTTCATTTCGTATCTATTCTACTACAACGAAAAAAGTTTAAAGGAAATTTTAGATATGTTATAGCATCGAAAACTGAGTCTGAAATCACTGGTAATTGGTTTAAAAGTTAGAAGGGTCTCAATACTTGCTGTCAAAATCTCATTATAGTGTCCAGACACCACTTAATGTATCGTATCTACAATAGTAAAAAAGAATTCGATATTAAAAAATAATTTTATCGTTCACCTTGTGATCTCAGTTCCAACAAGTCTTCTTCAGCTAACGTGGAAGTTGAAGTAGCAAGCTCCTTCTTGAAGCCAAGCAGAGCTATCGATAACCACGATCGGTTAGACGGGTCTTCTGTTGGCTCGAATGGCGATGTGAAGTAACTGAAAAGTTGACCAGAGTTCGTGAATCTTCTTAACCTTATACCTCATTATGAATCTAGTAATTTATAAAGTACTAGCTGACCCGGCAGACTTCGTAGTGCCTAAATCGAGAAATAAAAGACCTAAACTTTTGTATAAAACAAAAGATTAAAACAAACAAATGGAATCCGTCCGACGGGGGACACATCAAAGGAAAAACAAAATGTTATTATTTTTATTTCATTCCGAGCATTTTCATATTTATCTACATTTTAAACCTTCCCTGGACTTTCACAAAATATTTAAGACCAAAGTTAGCGAAATCGGTCTATAAGTATGATTATGTTTTTACCAAACTACTATAACTCCAAATAACGATATTATCCTTGACTCATTACATAAATGAAATTAATGATAGGTTCATAAGATATTTTACTGTACTAAGTATCCGGGCACTTTACATAAGCGCACTGTATGTAAGGGTGCCAAAAAGCATGATCCTCTCAATCCATGCCCAGTGTGCTTATAGGGCGTAGTGGAAACATTTCGAGATGGTTTTTTTTCTTATGTCTACGTATCGTTTTAATATTATTTGCCACTGCTCTCAAAGATACTCAGGGTCAATCAAAACTATAACCAACCTAGAATGAAGTAATCTTGGTATTAAGGTTTCTAAAAAGTATCGTAAAGCAAGAAGTTTTACTCAGACATTTATATGCTTGGGGCTCTCATGGGAAATTTAGAACTGGATAACGCATATGCAAAATGGAATGATGACGCGCTTTGCTGAATTTGAATTGCAAAAACGAAGCGGAAAATACGCATCCTATAATTCGTGAATGCAATGAATCCTAGTAACGATAATAATGAACATCTTAGGAACGAATATCTGGATCAAGATATCGGTAGGCTGTTATCACTTACGAAACAGATGAGGAATGTTTGATGAAGAATAAATGTTAGGAGAATGACACAAAAAATTCGTTGTCGTGGCCTAAAGGATAACACTGTCCGTTGCATTCGTATCTTGCTATGCACCGGTATTTGAATCCCGCAGGCGGGTACCAATTTTTCTAATGAAATACGTACTTAACAAATGTTCACGATTGACTTCCGCGGTGAAGGTAGTTTCGTGTAATTAAAATCAAACCAGCAAAAAAAATTAATTTGCTTAAATACTGGTGGTAGGACGTTTTGTGAGTTCGCACGGGTAGATATCACCGCCCTGCCTATTTCTGCCGTGAAGCAGTAATGCTTGTTTCGGTTTGAAGGGTGGGGCAGCCGTTATACTGTAAAAACTGAGACCTTAGAACTTATAGCTCAAGATAGGTGGCGGCATTTACGTTGTAGATGTCTATGAGCTCCGGTAATCACTTAACATCAGGTGGGCCGTGAGCTCGTCGTTGATCTCAAGGGTCGAAGTGTCGGGCAAATATGTACTATGTATTCCTTAATACAAATGGTATATAAGGATATTATTATTGTAATTGTATTTGCAGTGGCCTATAAAATAATGTACGTAACCAAACAAAGCAATCTCGATTTTGTAACAGTTACATCAATCAATATTAAAACGTTGCGATATGAAAGACAAAGCATCAATACAAAGTAAGCAAATCGCTTGCAAACAATAACATAAACATTGTTCACTTTATAATGTATATGAAAAGTATATACAATAAACAAATATGACCAAATTAAATTTCCTTTGGAACAGCCGAATTTTGTTTTCCGAATTCAAACAAAATTTCCATTTATCGGCTCGTGACTGATAGCATGGACAAAAGCCGATAACAATTACATACGGCACATGCATTTAACGACTTTAATGTACATATACATATTTTACTTTTATTTTCAACGATTTTATAATTAAATTTTACGTTTATTTATTTCAACTATTGCAAAATTAACCCGAACCTGTTTAGAGGAATGGGTTTAACTGTCAATGTGACATTTGTAAAAAAGTATTCCGGTGAAATTTTTGAACGATTTGATCCTACCAATAAAAGGGAGAAATGTCTAATTTGAATTCGAGTTCTGGGTTTTATAATGGGATTATAGAATAATCATGATTTGTTAATAAAATATTAAAGTTTTTTACGTAAATCATTTAAAATGTCGACTTGGAATTAACATTAGCTGAGCTGGAAAAAAATCGTGATATATTTTCAAATACAAAAATTAAACTATAAACAAACAAGAGCAAACTAAATCCGATAAAAAATTTATAAACCTCAGCCTGAGACGAGCAATTAGGTTACAACGGTAGGTACAAAAATGCGTGTTTTGTTTTTTTTTAATTAGCGATGGGTTTTTTTAAGAGATCGGTATTTTAATAATTTATCCTTGTCGGTGTCAGGATATAGGATAATGCACTTGGTTAAATGTCAGCAGATAAACTGGTTTCAAACATGATTTTGTTAATGGATGCTTTTGTTGGAAAATATATAATTTAAAACGTAACCAAAGCTTGTATGTAGGTCTTTAAAAAAATAATTTAGTTTTGATGTATTCAACCTAATATATATGTATATGTAATAGTCGTAGTGTTTATACATATATGAATTTTCCCTAGACTCTATAATGACTCGATTTCGATGGAATTTTCAGGATATCTTCAGACAGACCTAACGAGTGACCTTATTTGGTAACGATCGGATTAGAANTAAATAGAAAAAGTATTTAATATCAAAGATTAAACATGTATTAAATATTAAGGTACAATTCTGTAGTGGACATTTAATTAAGGACAGTAAAGTATAATGAAAAATACAGTTACACAAAACTTATAATCTTCAGTGTTATAATATCTTTAACAGCTCCATTTTATTACGTGTAAAATCAGTACCCAGTAGCAAAACCTTTTCCAGTTTCCGACCAGTTTCTGACATGTTTCGACAGGAATGTTTGCCCATACCTCACAAAAAGCTTCATGAAGTTCATCCAAATTTGTATTACGATAAGTGGCAACTTTTTTCTTGATTTCGTGCCAAAGGTGCACAATTGGGTTGAGGTCTGGGCTATTTGCTGGCCAATCTAGCACCGATACAAACTGATTGGTAAGAAACGACTTGACTGAATGGGCGGTATGTTTCGGGTCGTTATCCTGCTGAAACGTCCATATAATAGGGAGATGCTCTTCAGCATAGGGAAGCATAGTTTCTTCCAATATTGCCTTGTTGTTGGTCTAAGTTACCCTGAACTTTCCTCACAGGTCCCACTCCACGTCCAGAAAATGAACTCCATATTTTAATGTTTCCACCGCCATGTTTCACCTGTTTTTTTGTGAATCTTGGATTCATTTCCGCTTTTACAGGACGCCGTACATATTGCCATCCATCTGAAGAAATCAAATTAACCTTGGTCTCGTCAGAGAAAAGTACATGTTGCCATTGGGCGTAGGTCCAATGTCCATATTTACATGCAAATGCCAAACGAGCATTTCTATGTTCTTTCTTCAACAACGGTACTTTGCGAGCCACTCTTCCGAACAACCCTGCTTCTACCAAACGTCGTCGAACGGTCCTCGCAGATACACCGGCTCTTTCGTTTGCCCCAAACACATCCGTGTTTAATTAAAATAGAGCCTAGAAACGGATCTTTCTTAGCTAACCTGGTTATCATTTTATCTTCTTGCGGAGTCGGTTTTCTCGATCTTTTTGTTCTGGACACGTTTAAAGCTATGTTATAGCGTTTGAAATGTTGCACTGCATTGCATACCATAGTTTTTGAACAATTTAAATGTTGTGCTATCCTTCGGTATGACCAACCACGCTCGACAAACTTCATGATAATTTTTCGTAGTGTCGGATCGCAACTTTTATTTTTGCCCATTTTTCTTCAAAATAATTCTCAAAACCTAATATAAAAAATCGGGATTGCCGCCTAAACGACCACTAAACAATAAGAAAAGAAACAAAAAAATATTAAAATTCCAATTTTTTAATTAGAACGCAATACCTCAGTGTCCCTAATTAAATGGCCAGCCGGCATTCTTTGAACCAATAGCACTATGATATTGTATCAGCTATACTGTAAAGAGGTTTAATGTTTAAGAAGTTGTTATTGTTTGTATAATCGCGCACATTAATGACTAGTTACACTTACATGTAAAAGATATGAAATATTGCTAAGACTCGTTGGAAAATAAAAAAAATATTCACAATTTGACTTAATTAGAGATTGTCCCTAATTAGTTGACCACGACTGTATNAATAGCACTATGATATTGTATCAGCTATACTGTAAAGAGGTTTAATGTTTAAGAAGTTGTTATTGTTTGTATAATCGCGCACATTAATGACTAGTTACACTTACATGTAAAAGATATGAAATATTGCTAAGACTCGTTGGAAAATAAAAAAAATATTCACAATTTGACTTAATTAGAGATTGTCCCTAATTAGTTGACCACGACTGTATGTATATGTAATAGTCGTAGTGTTTATACATATATGAATTTTCCCTAGACTCTATAATGACTCGATTTCGATGGAATTTTCAGGATATCTTCAGACAGACCTAACGAGTGACCTTATTTGGTAACGATCGGATTAGAAGCCTAAAACTGTATCTAAAACTAAAGCCCTTGATCAAGGTCATCAGAAAACAACCAGTTGACGTGGTCATGGTGACGCATTGTATTATATTAACCATTTTATATACATTTACATAGGATGAAGTCATTGCTAGCAAATTTAAATAGCATCGTCATATTGCTAATAGGTCCACCAACAAGTATACACTAGGCGGCTCTTTCCATGATACAGTAAATAAAGAGTACAAAGCGCATATTTTATTACAGTATTATATTGGCAGAAACTGACGCACAATCTCGTGCTACAAAGACAAAGAGATCGAAGTCACAGTTGCAATAGAATCTATATATTAATACGTGAAGCAAAAACGTTGTATGCCTTTTAAGGAAAATTGCGTAGACGGACGAGTATGAAATTTCCCACACCTATAGAGAATATAGAGAATGAGTGCAGAATGATAGTATTATTAAATTATGCATAAAAAAAATACATTAAATCAATAGAAGAAACACCTACCATGTATTTGACACACACACGCATAGATACTCTTTTATTTATTGTTAAAGTCTGTTGGCAAATTGAGAATATATTAATATTATTTGTCTTGGCGAAATCTGTGATTATAGAAGTATAAATAGTTTTTGACAATAGAATCATAATAATGATCAAACTTATAACTTCAATTAATTATAGTCGAATTTCGACTACTGGGGGACTACTCTCTATATATTAATACGTGAAGCAAAAACTTTGTACCCCATTAGAAGACGGAGGAGTATGAAATTTCCCACACTTATAGAGAATATAGAGAAGGAGTGCAGAATGATATTTTTTTTTTAATTATGCATATAAAAATCATTAAATCATCATAAAGAAAACATTACACACACTACCATGTGTTTGACACACACAGGCATGCATACTATATGCTTATTGTCAAACTTTTCTTATTGTTTAAAGTCTGTGGTCAAATTGAGAATAGATTGAATATTGTGTGTCTTTAATAATATTTGTCTAAAGTGTAGTCTTGGTGAAATCTGTGATTAAAAAAGTATAATAGTATTTGACAAAAGAATCATAATAGTGTACAAACTTATAATTTCATTTAATTATAGTTGAATTTCGACTACACAGGGACCATTAGTAACAGTAATATCGACATTGAAACCGAGCCGCATAATTACTTTGCGGTAAAAATAATTCGTCTTCTCGCATTAAAACTATATAATCTCAAAACTTATTAATTCTACAGGAGAGTGTTTTAAAAGTTTAACATGTAATATCTTTAAATCATCTTTGCAACATTTACTTTTTATGTTTTATCAGTTACATTATCTGTCTTTTAAAGTAAGATAAAATTATGTATTAATTTTGTTAATAGTAGTCAAAACGTAGGTAAACTAAAAAAAAAAAACTAAAACTAAACTACGCTCTTTTGGCAGTATTTATGGGAAAAATACTGATGATACCAAATGTTTACGCATATTAACTCAATTTCGAATATTTTTGGAAATTGTACACTTTTAATGCGAAAAGGCGATATGGATGGTATTACGACGCAATATGTCAAACAAATATTAATACAGTTACCGGTTGCCATTCTTCTTCCTCCTGGTGGTGGGACTGGAATGGGGCGAGTGTGCCGGCGTGGCGGGGAGACTCTTGCTACCTCGACGCGCCATCAGATTGTAGTGCTGGGGGTCCGGAGCGGTGGCGTCCTCTGACGGCGACGCCACCGTGAACCCGCGCGGAGACCGAGAAGATATCATCTGATGTGCGACCTGTGACAGTAACGCACTATTTGATTTCGACGTGCAATTGATGCGACCATTTCCAGCGACGTTGCAGCTACAAACATGTACCAAACTTAACATGTGATCACCAATTTTCACGTTTACAAACTAATTTGTAATTATGGAATTAGCAATTTTTTTTTATTGCTTAGATGGGTGGCCGATCTCACAGCCCACCTGGTGTTAAGTGGTTACTGGAGCCCATTGACATCTACAACGTAAGTGCGCCACCCACCTTGAGACATAAGTTCTAAGGTCTCAAGTATAGTTACAACGGCTGCCCCACCCTTCAAACCGAAACGCATTACTGCTTCACGGCAGAAATAGGCAGGGTGGTGGTACTTACCCGCGCGGTCATGTATAGTAATGTCACGTTGAAACCGCTTAATAACCGCCAACGTGAATCAATTAAAAAAAAAACTCGAATAGAACATAAGTCTCCTGTTACACGTGTCTCGTGTGAACAATGGCACACTGAGTGGAAATAATTAAAATGACCAACGATTTCTCGATATATCGTACGAAAGACTTATTAGTACGATTAGTTTCATTCATTCTCGATAGCAACCTACAGCTTAAGTAGGACAAATACCATGGAGACAGGTGCGAAAGTGATGCAACATAAAATACATTAGTTATGCCTCAGTACTCAAAATTGTACTTGGTTAAATTCGAAGTTTCTTTTTCTTTGTTTTAAGTAATTCTAAATTAAATTTTATGCATATTGCAACGTTCTGTTTAAGCCTACGTAATTTGAGTAATATAAATGCGATTAATGTTTAATAATGTTTGAACAGTTGGTGCGATAGCTTTAGGTACAATCTTGTAGACCCCCGATCGTGAGGTTATCGCAGTTTTAAATAGTTTGTTGATTGAACTGAATGTCAGAGCTAAACAGACGAATCGTCATATGAACGCGTATTTGTGCAGAAATCATTAAAAATAACAGCAATAACGTTTCAATGTGGTATAACGGTAATACATATTCAAGCCCGCACGGACAGTTGCCCCCGTCTTACTTATTTCTGTCGGGATAAGTACATTCTTTCAAAGAGCCTTTACTACCAAAACATTTGAAAATTTGACCTAATGTTTCAATGCAATGAAGCAGCCTCGCAATGCGTATGATTTAGCAAGAGAAATACGAGAACGTCTATCAGCTGTGTAACATCTCATCAACGCGATTCAGGAATTATTGAATTTACGTGCAGCGATATCTGTTTATAACAAACTTCTTAAAATCTTACGTTACGGACGTTTTTCCCCCGTTAGGGTACCCCTCCGCATCGTCCCATAAGGAACTTTGTTCCAAAAATTGTCTGTTAAAAACAGTTTAAAACCATAAAGGCGTTATTTATTAGCTTTGTCATAAACTTATTCGAGCATTAGAACAAATAGGCCGCACGTAAATACGTATAGAATAAACCATTTCGTAATAAACTCACCGTAACAGATAAAAACAGCCGTTAGATAGTTGTATCATACTGACCTTCACTACAGAAGTACCACACGCCGCTCCTTCGCCTTTGAAGCCGTCATCCGTACCGGCTGGCTTCGGTTTCGTAACAGAGTTCACTGCAAAAACGGCAATTGTAAAATTTATTTCCCCCTACGTTGTCTTTTGCTATGCGGAACTCTTTGCATAATAAATCGCTTGGTATTAAAATTCATATCGCATATAAATCTAACGAGAAATAAATAGTTCATTTCTTATAGCATACTTATGTAAATTATTGGAAAATCAAGACGTCCGCGTTTGACTCTCGTCTCTGGGTGGTATAACTAATTATACCAAACAAAACATATTACTGGTAATAAATAATTTTCGATAGCTTCATTCTGTACCATTAGTCATGCAGTGATTAGTCAAATTTCAAAATTTTCATAATGATGTCCGCCGAGCTCTTGAAAATAATTCAAACATATTCAAGTTTCCTCGGTTGTCTTTATCGACAGTTGTCAATAAAAAGGTAGATGTTGACTTCTAATGTTCGAACTAGGTTGATTGTTTATCAATTAATCCCGGCTTCCGTAATAACAGTGGAAGATTTTAATGAACACAAAAACATATGTAAATCACATGTTTGTAAATATATACTGAGGAGATCGAACACACATTTGATATTACTAATACATATGTATATATCTACGTACGTAAACACGCTAATATCTTTAGCACCGTTCTATTTATTTAGATACATAAGACTAAATTCAACATCACCAGCGAAGCATATCAACCGGATAATTAAAACTGTAAAAATTTAATGTTTTTATTTAACAGTATTTAACTGTATGGTTTCAAAACAAATTGTTTTCTTTTACGAAGCAATCTTTCATCATACAGTTTATAATGATTGCTATGCGAGTAAGAACTTTTAAATTGACGTCATCGAGGTTGGAACAAGCAATTGATTCAACTTTGAAAGTTCAATTTAAATGAGAAACAACCGGTTTTTACGCGTTATAGCCACACCCACAAACTAGTCGTCATCAAGGTAAAACATTATCTTACAATGCAATATGCGTTCTCCAGTTGAATATCTATTTTCAAAAGATAGCTGCAATAAAAAGGTCATGAAATTTACTGTCATTGCTTATTTAACTGATTGCTTTCCGAATAGGTTTATTAAACACATACATTTGGATTATTTTAATCGGCATAGGGTATAAATATCTAAAATATTGCAGTATGAGCCAGGGCAAATTCATAAAAATATTCCTTGATTGTCAACCTTGAACGAGTTGAAATGTACATTAAAATTAAATTTAAGAAATTATTCTAAATATTTATTTTATACTATTTTATAGTATCTAATGAAATCACCTTTCATTACTTCAAATTCCCACGAGTTTCATAAAAAACCTTGCTACGGTCGGATTTTAAATTAATATTGTATAGTAAAATGGTTGCTTCGGTTTTCATCCAGAAAATGTTTCAACAAAAGTTACAGTAGTTTTAGGGTTATACGCTCGGACAAACAATCAAACAAATAGACAATAATCGATAAATCTCTGACCAAAGGCAAGGAACACTTAAATCACACCTACCTAGAAATATCTATAGCGAAAAGTACGAGAATAATGTTGAGAACTATTTGATAATGTTTTGAAATCACTAGCGTAATAAAACGCATTGTATAGTTTAAAATACCTGCGGTGTTGATTGGCGCGATGCCGTGGAGCACATCTTGGCACGGCTTGGTGTGTTTCGACCAGTCTTTCTCCTTGACGACGTTGAATGCCGAGGCAGCGGTCACTTCCTTCGTTTCGTTCACAAGCGCGTCTTGACTATTCGTGGGTTTACCAAATAATATATCCGATTTAGGGTAGCGTATGTAGAAGAATGAATCTTCCGGTGGGGGCGGCGATCCGGCGAACGGTTCAAATTCTCTGCGATGAAACAATTGAAAAAAAAAAACACTATTTAACCTGCCATTTACAGAAGATTTGTTTATAGAGTAAACATTTTTTGTCTACTTAAGTGTATAAAGAGCACGAGCCGGTAATTCACTAAGATCTTTAAAAATTACATATTCATGTTATTGTCAAACTCTTGAATGAAACAAACACTAAAACATTAAGAGTAGCTTATCTAAATAGATCCATTGAAATATTGTTCGATTATTGTAGAGATTAGCGTCCACAAAAACACAAACAAACACACAAAGAATAGAAAAAGTAAATATTATTCTAGATAAGTATCACGCACAATGAATTATGGATAACTATGTTTTAATTTGCTGTTTTATTTGATTGAATTATGTACCCAAAACAAGTATCATCAATGTGGCTAATTTACATATTATGTACCTATGGTACATGTATGTACTCTAGTCCTCTGTAGACCACGAGCACGTTATATTTAGTACACGATATCACCGCGGTCAATATAACACATTCATACCATTCATACACACACATATAACACATTCATACAAATTTAACAAATTCATACACATATACCATATTTATTATCCCAATATTTCATTAATAATCAGACAACAGAAACAATTACGCAAAATAACACTAACGATAAAAAGATATTCCTATTTTACTATTTCAATTTTAACGAGACACAAAAACGAGATGTTATCAAAATTAGCTTTCATAATTACTTACGTCAGCAAAACATTGTCAAACTGTGACACAATACTATTTCTTCTGAACATTATTATTTTAAACAGTTCAAACACGTAAAGTGCGACCTAAATTAAGAATGTTCAGCTGCAACCAATATTTTATTTATAACGCAACCGATTCTAAACGTTTGCCTCCAATGCTCATTCGTATAGATGTCGCTCAGAGCGCAACGGAAACAAAACGAGTAATGAAAATGCTTACACCTGAATCTTTCTTTTTATTTGGTGCGAACGTATCTTAATCTTATCACGGACTGTTACGAGTGCTAATGAAAACGTCGCGCTTCCAAGAAGTCGTCTGAGTGACGTCACGCAAAGCAACCAATGATACGTCTCCATTTAAACACTCCCTCGACAAGAAAGCATATGACATAGCGATTACGTAGACATGGAGGTACCAGACGGAAGCTCAGAATAGTAGCATCTAGACGCGCTCTTGGCAGAAAATTTACTTTTAGATATTTTAAAAAGTTTCCACGAATTTCACTAAAGATGTCAATAAACTTGTAATTTAAAATTATCTATACGTATAAATAAAATTGGAGTGTCTGTTTGTAATATTGAAATAATCGCTTTTTACTACATGCATATGAATATATATACGGTACATACACCAAAATAACATTTTTTACAATTTTTGTCTGTCTGTCTGTTTGTTCCGGCTAATCTCTGGAACGGCTGGACCGATTTTGACTAGACTTTCACTGATAGGTAGCTGATGATATAAGGTTAGGCTACCTTTTTTAGATTAGCTTTGCCCCGCGGCGTTACCCGCGGTACGATAATAACCGTGGTTAACATCGCGGGACTCAACTATCAATAATAAAATTTAATGTTTCCGAAGCGAAGCGAGGGCGGGTCACTAGTTCTAAATAAAATCAATGTTAGCGATTTCTCGGACCAAATCCAATCGATTAAATACTTCTATTATTTTACTCATAATCGTATTAAGAATCATAACTGCTACAAATATACCTATATTTTTTAATTTCACAAGGACAATATCGATTTTATCACATGTCACGTATGATAAGTAATTAATATTTTTTAAAAAAAATAACAATCCGAAGCCATCTACTGGATAGGTACCTACTTCATTATAATATTATTGTAGTGTTTGGCAGCAAAATGACTAGCCTAGTAACTATCTTATCAATACAAGGATTATACAAGATTGTGATATGAAATACTAACATAACAAAACAAATTATCTGGGCACTATAAAAAGGCCACTGGCTGTTTATTACGCGAGTGCACTCTAAGCTTCGTTTATACTAGTAAAATTCGGCTTCAAATAGTTACGACATCCCTGAATATAATATCTACACCAATTTTCTGAATCGTCTCGCGCCATCAATTTTGCGTTCATGGTACATTTTATGGCCAGAAACATTTTCTTAGGTGTCTTGTCTTTGAAGAAAGACGCTGATTAGATGTTCTTACAATGAAAATAAAATGGGTATTATCGAGAAAGTTGTTGTTCAGGGTAGAGTCAATGGTAAGAGATCTCGTGGACGAATCCCCATGCGCTGGACTGATCAGTTGAAAGACCTTACTGAAACCCCACTTAATGAGTGTGTGCGCCAGGCCCTCGGTTCGCAAACTATGGAAAACATCTGTCCAGGCTTTGATAAGCAAGAATTCCACATTACCACGACTGCTCTGCCAAGAGCAATCGATTATGATGATGATTTATCACGCGACCCTGGCCACCTGCATTCTGCACCTGGTGCATTTTACATAAAGACGGTAGGTGGCAAAAAAGATCTCTAAATAGGCACTTTGAAGAAATGCAGCATATCAGTAAGAGATCGGTTATCGGTAAATACCGGATATCGGTAAATCAGAATTATTAGCCATCGGAGCGATCGTCTACAATTACATGCTATTCAACAGTTTAAGAAATTGGATCGACAGTCTACTAATTGGATGGATAAAAATAAAAAATCAATTTTCATGTTAGTTTTAATATCTTTTGTCAATTTCAAAATATGATAAATTTATTTCGGGTTAAGCTTTATCTTATAGATTTCAAATCAACAAAATTGATCGTCTGTCAATGAGTTATGACGTAAAATCTCTTTGGCGCTCAATGGCAGAGAACAATAAATAAAATTGCAGAATTCTAAATCAATGTCAATATTTTTAGCATTCAGAATTCAAATGACATAAAATGGAACCCTTGCCTATTAATTTCCAATTTTTTTTTAACCAGACTTAATAATAATTACGGAATTTATTACACGATGTTATTCATTCATCATTGAAGTCATTCGTGAACAAGAGTTAATTCATTAGAAAAATTGGGACCTGCCTGAGGAAGTCTAACACCGGCAAGGTCACATCACTCGATACGAACGCACCCGGGCGTCTTATCCTTTAGGTCACGACAACTTTGAAACAAAACAACGATGAATTTTATTACATGATGTTATACATTATTGTTCATGAACAAATTCAACAACAAAAACAAAACAAAATCAACAAATTTCCTTAGAAAAAATAGGTATCTGCCTGCCAGATTTGAGTACCGGCATAGTAGCTCTACACTAGATTCCAGTATAGGTACCGATTCTCATATACATACTACGACAAATTCAAAAAAATTCACGAAGCTGCCAAAAATATTTTATATCGGGGTAAACTGCGTTTAGTGTATGTATGCGCTTTTGTCCCATTTTTAATCAAAACTTGAAAAACCGGTATAGTATCATTTGAAACCGTGCATATATATATATACTAGCGACCCGCCCTCGCTTCGCTTCGGAAACATTAAAACACACATGAAACCAACAAAAAAAATTAAAAAAAAAAAAAGTAGCCTATGTTCATCAGGGACAATGTCGACTTCTAATGGAAAAAGAATTTTTCAAATCGGTCCAGTAGTTTCGGAGCCTATTCGAAACAAACAAACAAACAAATCTTTCCTCTTTATAATATTAGTATAGAAGTATAGATATAGATTTTAATGATATCATTATATGCTTTGAATCTCCAACCCGATAAATTTTTACAAAGACTAAATGATGTTTGCTACTTTTAAAAGCATCTGTTTGTTATGCTACTGTCGTGACCGTGATAAGAAAGACAAACAAACAAAAGAAACGTCACTCACGACTCACGAGCGAGCCTCTGTTGTCGTTACGTACAAATTCCAAAAATAAATAAGTACCACAATCGAGTACACGTAATCGATCAAATTTGTTGATAAAACATTCGATTACAATTAGAAGGTTTTTCACCGCGTTCAATTATTAAAAAAAATGGTGCACGTGCAAGTTTGTGCACGTGAAAGAAGTGAAACTTCTTTTGCGGTGTGTAGTATTGTGGTTTTCTTAATCTTTCATCCTTAAATAAAATTTCTCCTGTAACAGGAAATGCTGTGTATAAGAGAAACGACCTAATTCGCTTTGTCCTTTCCCTCTCTCCACGGTCGAGGTTCGCGAGACGCTATCTATTTTCTCACTCACGCTCTTTCTAAATTATATCTTTTCTCTCTAGCCGTAACGAATCTGTCGCGAATTAAATTTTACTCTCAACGCGCCTAAAGAAGTTTCACTTCAAGAAGTTATGTTACGTTTATCTTGCGTAATTTTTTTTAGATCTTACAATTTTAAACGTTTCGGACCTTGCAACTTTCGAGATTATAGGCGAAAGCTATAGAAATTCCAAGACTTTATTTTTAAGCAAAAACCTAAAAGATGCACTTTTACGACCGTCTCTGTACCCGATTGTACACCCTCGTTTATTGTACGCAAATATTTTCTTGTTATGCTTTCAATACAGCCACAGTAATTATTAGTATCGTTAAATAGTTTTTTTATTGTTTCATGGTTAACAAGTATTAGTGATGTTTGGGCGTATTCTGAACAGTGTTTACATATGTACTACAATCCTGTATTTACGTCTCAAAGTAATTTTACCTATCATTTTTTTTTTTTTTTTTTTTTCTACCTAAGCGAGAGCCTTGAGAGACTATTTCAGCGTAGCCTTAACTAGTAGGTGAGCTCTCGGGGCTCAAACCTGTCGACGTTGCTAACACGAACCCTAGCACAAAAGTCGTGCTTCGCAGAATCTACCACCGGATCGGAAACGTGACCCACTGAGAAAATCCGGCGAGAAACTCAGTGGGCTGTGTCTGAGGGTTACTACCACTACAAATACTATACTGCAATTACTACAAAATATTTGTTCTTCTTCAAATGATTATAAGTAACAAACTCGGCTGGGCTACACTATTTATGTTTCATGTCAAATTAAGCTAATTTTAATTTGTTATACTCTGTAAATATTTAAAGCGTGCCAAGAACGTATTAGCACAATTACTTATTCTAATAATATTTAATCTAAGAAAACATACCTATAGAAAGGTACTGTAATAACATATATAAGTATACTGGTTGATTACAGCATGATACATTAGTAAAAACTTTAATAACATTTGTATCTAATATATAAAATTCTCGTGTCACAATGTTCGTTCCCATACTCCTCCGAAACCGCTTGACCGATTCTCATGAAATTTTTTATGCATATTCAATAAGCCTGAGAATCGGCTACTATCTATTTTTCATACCCCTAAGTGATTAGGGTTGTCCACCCCTAACATATTTTTTTTATTTGGACATATTTTTTTTGTTATAATGAGGTATTATGTGGTTGAATGAGGTTTTGTTATTTTTAATATATATTCCCTCATCGTTCACAGCACTACATACCTCTTTCACTCATTTACCACATCCTTACACACTTACAATAAGTTAGTTTTTTTTTCTACACTAGAAATTCCCTAGAAATCTTATATATAGCAAAACAATGTTTGCCGGGTCAGCTAGTAATACTATATTATAAAGTTTCAAGTTCTCTTGAAGTACGCAATTCGTGTCATGTTCGATGGGGACGGAAATAAAAAACTTAATTTAGAGTTTGTTTCGTTCAAGTTGTTTTTTTTTTTTATTGCCCTTGTAGGCAGACGAACATACGGCCCACCTGATGGTGAGTAGTTACCGTCGCCCATGGACTTCAGCAATGCCAGGGGCAGAGCCAAGCCGCTGCCTACCGCTTAATACTCTTCACGAGCCTCTTTTAAAGAAGGACATGTCATAGCGCTCAGGAAACACCGTGTAGGGGAGCTCATTCCATAGCCGGATGGTACGTGGCAAAAGATTTTCAAATAAAAGGTTTATACTAATCTACAAATAAAAAATTCTTTCTAAAGACTAATGAAACACCGCTGCTCGTAGCTTATAAACTACTGAACATAATGATTGAGTTGAATATTGAAATTATGGGTACTCACTTTGTTGGTTTTGTCTTCATCCATACAGGAAGTGTAAATCCATCTTTAATTTCAGGGTCACTAGAAGCCATATTTATAACTTAATTCAAATAGCAATTTAATGAAAATGAATAAGACAATATATATTTAATTTAACAAGTATAACAAGCAAACTACTAGACAATTCAATACTAAATGGTATTATTATCTTGAGCAGAAATGATAAGATTGCCTCAAGTAAAAATATAAATTGATGACATAATTCAGAAGGCAACAAAATACATAATTATTGAAAAGATACAATATTCGTTTTTAATTATTTTAATCTTAAAATAAATTAATGTCTAATGGTTTCTTCAAGAAATCCTCCAGGATTCACTCGATTTAAGTGAAAGTGGTGAAGAAATCATCTGTGAACAAAATATTTTTTTGTAAACCGCTTATAAAATCTGACAGGTAAAATCACATAGGTGTTCTAAAATATTTTGGCTTTCTATATTTTCAGTAATTATTATACCATTGAGATTAAAACACGTTCATTGTTGAATGTCTTATTACCTATATATTTTACAATGTTTTGAATTCATATTTCAGTTTTCATGGTGACTGACTAGATTTTTTAATAATAGATCAGGACATGTATACGTATTATCAAATACAACACTTTTTTAATAGTTTATTTGCATTTGAATAGATATGCCATTAGGTTCAACACTTGCTGCTATTTTGTAAATAGTGTAAATAATTTTGTAAATAAAAATTCTGGGACTTGGTAAAAAATGAGCCAATATGTTGTGTTGACAGCCACAAGACTGATGTAAGCCTAACAGTATATGAACTATATTTAAGAGACTGAAACAGAAAGAAATCAGTCCGTGCAAGAGTATATGGTGGATGGGTTAACACTTCCCAACCAAGCTCTATGAATATTCAGGTTTCAGTCCTGACACATAAATATAACTTTTTTGTATATTCATACTTGTTGAAATGGTTCAAAGCTGCTTTGTAGTCAACTCACAACTCTATCTTGTAAATTCTAAGATTCTGCTCCACTTTTTAAATGGTAATAGTATTGACATTATTCATCACATGTGAAAAGTACCAAGACATTGTAGATATATGAAGATCTTCCACCGAGCGGATGATATTGCTCAGTAGACCGACAGTCCCAACTTGGAACTTGGACAACTCCGAACTTGTACAACAACTTGGACAAACCAGAACTTGAACAACTCGGAACTTGTATATATGCAAGCTTAACTTGAAAATGTCGTAAGCGAGATTCAGTCATTTGTCAAATATTTTGTGTAGTATGATGGCTACCCGCCACAACATCAAGTCTTTTTTCATGTAAAAAATGCTTGTACCAATGTCATGCTAATCTTAGTGACATTGTGTTAACGCCATTAATGTCACTATTTTTCTTGAGTTGTGTCACATTCTTTTGTAGGTTAATAAAATTTGAAAATGTATTTCATTCCTTTAATGTAAGCTCACTTCGGCAGGCAAAAATACAATAGACAAATACTTTTAAAGAGGGAAAATATTTTTACTTTTGATTTTTCTATTTAAAATGTCATCTAAGTATTTTGATGGTACCAAAACAAAGCAGATATAAAGAGAGCATCCAAAGAGCTTTTACTACAACTTTGTACTTATAAAACACAAAAACTTATTCCCAGACCTAATATATTGTTATCTTTTAATGGATTTGAAAAGTGGAACAATGAACTTGAAACTCACTCATAGCTAATAATTAAATAATAATTAATATAGTATTTGATATGACTGTATGGTTATCAAAATAGTAATAAATATTATAAAATAATTTTTTTTAATAACAGTGAAATATTAGCATATTTCAAAAAGATTGAAAAGTTTGAAGTGCCCACAGTTTAATGGGTAAGTGGTCAATATACAGTCATAAAATACTTCCCCTCAGCAGAAGGGATTCAATGAACAGAAGGCGAATAAGTCTTTTTTCTCAATAAATAAGTAATGGACACCTGTTTACCTTATGCCAAAGTGGGTGATTGTTTTCCTACTATGTCTATAGGTTCTGAGAACAACTTAACACCCTGATCTCTTTCACCCAGTTAGTGTAATAAAAACAAATATATATACACTTATATTACAAATAGATAACAGCATAAAATGCCCATTGATCAATTCCAAAATCACCCACATTTAATTACAGTATAATATAGTTGTCACATTTTATATAACACATAATTCCAGTTTTCAAACACTGTGTGGTTTAATACTAATTATTAACATTTAAATTAATAACATTTAAAGGCAAATCTAATAAATCTAACATAAGTACCATTATACCATTTGGTACCATTATATGATATAGTTAAATTTATTAATACCATTAAATTGACTTACTATTATACAACAATTTAGTGGTAAAAAGATTCAGTCAAAATTTTTACTAAAAAACTCCATTGCATGCATACTTTTTTGCAGATAGATATGTAAACAATCTTCTTTTTCTTTTATGTTATTTAAAATGAATAGTCATACATAGATTTCTGGATCCCATAAAAATCACAACAATAATGCAGATGGAGAAATGAGTTCAAAGACTCAATTGTACAACGACTGTCCCACCCTTTAAGCCGGAACACATAACTGCTTTGCGGCAGAAATGAGCAGTATGGTTGGTGGTAGCTACCAGTTCAGGCTCACTATATGACCAGGACAACGATTGACGATCTTTAGTGTGGTAGACGTCCGGGATGAAGTGTGAGGTGATTATTTTAATAATGGAAAAAAAATGCATACCTATCATACTACGTAGTACCTTTACACTACTCATATTGCTCACGTGTTGTGTGATTATTTACTATCTTGATATCTCATGTATAATTACAATTCGTTTTATTATATATTTCAATGTTTACTTACAGTTTCAGATAGATCGTTAGGGCCACTGTTAAATAGCATTATATCGAAATCAAAAACAAAGACGTCCAACTAGCTTCATAAGCTTCATAAACAATTAAATGACTACGGTAGGTACGGTACTATACTACCTACTTATGACATGACAATCAAAGTTCACTCAAACTTCAAAGTCAGAAAAGCCAATATCCAGTTTTTGGTTGATTTGTTAAATAGGCAAAAGAAACATAAGTATAATTACTTTGGAATCAAAAACCGAAACGTGAAATAAAATTACTGGAATATAATGAAAATTAAATGGACTCATAAAAATCTGAGGAAACGCAGTGATTTTGTTAATTTTTTCAAACTTGAAAACTTCCACAGATGTTGGTCAAAATGGTCAAAAATTTCAGTTTTTATTTATACAAACCTGGTAGAGTAAAACTGAATTTAAAATTAAAACAATTCGTTCGAAAAACCATCTATGAAAGTTTTACCGCGTACTATTTTACTTTTCATGCAACAAGTAAACAGAGTTTGAACCTTTAATTAGAATAAATATTATTATGGACTATTTTCTTTTGCCTGTACAACGATCGATTTATGGAAGTCTTAAGTATGTTATATGAGTAGAACTTTATGGTGGGAATGCGAGGAATGAAGTTGTGTGATTTATTTTATTTTGTCTATTTAGTGTTTCGATGGTTTATTAACTGCTTAGTTTCTGTGACAGTGCAGAAATGTGGGAAAATAAAACAAAGCCACTGGACGTAACTTCTCGAGATCCTCCAAAAAGTCCACTGAAAAACTCTCAGTATATGACCACCATTTTATTGAGATTATATTTCATCCCATAACATCTCATCTCATTTCATTTCATTTCATCCCAGTTGATTAATGTATCAAATTAATCATCTTCATTTCATTTCACTTCACTCTATATTATCATTTTTTCATAAAAATAAGTATTATATAAATTATAATAAGACATGACCTAAAGGTCTTAGTTACTAGGTCATAAAATCCTTTACAAAAAAATGTTCTTTGAGTCATATGACAATTGACATATAGAATCATAGGTAAAAAGCTCAATTATTTATAACTTAACCACAAAAAAAGCTTCACAATTTACGAGAGTTATAAATAAATACATAATACACACTACTGTGATCATATTTTAACATAACAATATAATTTCAGTACAAAACTAGATTGTAACACATGCTGTCACAATTTAATGTTTAAATTGGATACGGTTAATTTCTAAAACGAAGAAAATGTCAACTGAACCAGAACCAACGGATTTACATTGGGTGCAACTGCGCAAGGAAATGGGAGCTTCTCACCATGTAGAAACGACAAGAGAAAAATTTCATAGAAAATTTACAGAGAATCCGTTTGTTCCTCTAGGTCGCTAAAATACAACTTTTTTATATCGACGGTCCCCACATACCTAAAAACTTGTCTACACATTTGGTTTATAGGGGTGTAGTGTATTTACAAAAAAAACAACAAATATATGTAACATAAATACATAAATTCCATAAAGTAGCTTGCAAGTCTAATTTATTGATAAATATTTTTTTACTTCAAGGAAAACAAACTATATATAATACAGTGTTATTATATTTATACACCCCAGCTTTTTCATCCTTCTCATATATTTCATGTGTATAATGACCTATAAGTATTCGAATTTTCTTAACATAATAAGTTTATCTTTTTTCTTTCAAGTTTGCCCTTAATTATTATTGTGTTCGAATATTTCTCACATATGAACAAACCCAACTTTCTGGAGAATCAAACATATTTTAATGTGAAGTTAGATAAACTTTTTTAGTACAAAATTTCTTTGAAAATGTTGATGGATTATTAACTAGTATTTTTGGAATTCATATTGTCCTATAATTTTCTACATTTTCACTACATTAGCAATCTTATTCATCCTTTTATGGTATGGTCATGGATATTCATCCATTATCCTTAAATTCCAGCAAAAATGATTAGTTCATAATATACATAACAAAGCCTCTTTGCTAAATCCCTTGGAGTAAATGCGAGTACCTTTTTAATACATACAGTACAGGGCTTTATGCATTTTTTTTTACAAATCTATAATTTTATCTTAGTCTTTATTGAAAACAACAAACTTCTATGATGGAGTGCTGGAAAATATTTGTATTTTTAAGTAAAGACAAAAAGTAACTGATGGTAATGAGAAAATGTGTAACATGATAAAAAAATGTAATTTACCTTATCTTCATGTATGTTGGGACTGTAGAGTTTTTAAAAATGTAGACTATACTAGTTATTTAATATAATTGTAAGATGTAGTTATTAGAGAAATCCTATTTTCAATTGAATTTCTTCTAGAAGTTTACTATTTTAATCTATTTTGTTTCTTTAAGTAAATGTAAAAATACGAATAAGTTTAGTTCACCCATTATCTTAATAATTATATGGTTTTAAAAATTCAAATTTAATTTGTAGGTTGTTTAGCAACAGCTGGAGCTTTATCCATGGGTCTTTGGAGTTTTAGAACTGGAAAGACAAGACTCTCTCAGCAAATGATGAGAGTGAGAATTCTTGCACAAGGGCTTACCATTGCTGCTTTAGTTATTGGTGTAGTAATCACCACAGGAAAATCTTCAAAATAATATTCAATAATATTAAATTTTTATTAAAGATATCAGAAAAGATAATAAATAAATGTTTTTTTTTAGGGAGATAATGGTACATGTTAATAAATGATTACTTATTTATATTTTCATTTATTGCTCCAATTGCCATTTCAAAGAATTTACATTATTTTCTAGTTAAATAAATGAACAATTTTGACAAGCAAGCATTGAAGTCCAACAAAATTATTGAGTTACTTTTTTTGTTCATGAGAAAATTGTCATACTTCCGTGTACGTGTTGGTGGCCTTCCCCACGTCTCTTGTCCAAGCTTCTAATGAAACAGAAATCAGCAGAGATTGCACAAGGCGTCTTCCTTTTTATTCCTAGATTTCCCTATTACATCAATTCTGCCCTGAAATATTCCGTACAAGCAATATAATTGTTTCTTTGAGTTTAACAATGACTGAATTAATTTCATTCTATTCACCTACAACCGAAGGCAACAAAGTACCTCCCACAGCCGCAATACTGTTCTCCGCCATTTAGTTCACTGACCATGGAAAACTTCAGGCCTTCGCTACATATCTGACTGGGGTATTTAAAACCAACAGTATTAATAGTCAAAAAAATCCCGAAATAAATCAAGTCCTAAAGCAAGAAGAAATTATGCATGCTCTTGACTCCTACTAAACCAAGACAGATGGGCAACTAGCCAAAATGGAACACAATAAGGTATTTTGATCTGATCACCTCCTTGCTGTTGAAAGAGCTTCCCAGAAAGTACATTGTCTTATCGACTATCCTTGTTAATGCGACACTGAGCAGCTCTCATTTCCCTGCACTCTGGAAAACATCCCAAATTTTTACGATCCATAAGCCTGCTAGGTAAGCCGCATAACGAAGTTTCATCTTATCGTCCTATTAACATGACGCCGATATTGTCAAGGTTTTGGAAAAAAAACATCTTAATGGCATAAAGCAGGTACCTAAACAGAGGGTATGTATATTAAGAAAATGTCCGGAAAGGAAGGAATACTGTTCGGCTGCTTTTCTCAACGTACAATCCTTTGACCTGGTTTGGTCTAGGTGGACTGCTATGCAAAATTATAAAACACATTCCTACTTTCTACTGTTAGTCTTATCCCATGGACAGAAGGTTTCAAGTCAAGCTCCGTGACGCTAGATCTTCTCTTTTTGGCTGCAAAGTCGGGGTACTACTACCCCAGTACTCTGTCTTCTCGGTTGATGGGCTATCTAACAAGTTCAGGCTGTATTGTTCTTTAATAAAACTGACGTATTGAATCCAACTATGGTCAACAGCTAACAAATCCAACATTATGTGCCTCCAGAGAACTCAAAACATTATCCTGTGGGTATTCTCATCAGCGCCTTATTATCAAGGTTATCAAATTCATTATTTTAATTTATTTTGTTTCTTAAAGTAAATGTAAAAATATTAACTCAAAAGTCGGAAATCCACAAGTAGGTACCTGGAAATTTCAACCATACTGGACGAAATTAAGAGATACTCAACCAACTTTAAAGACCGCTTGACAGCTCATCCAAACCCGTTGTCCAGCATGCTCTTGAAACCAAATCGGATTAGAATGCTCAAAAGAGCCGATGTGCTATCCTACTAAGTGGCGCAGGTGCATTAGCGATTTACTGGTGGTAAGACGTCTTGTGAGTCCGCACGGGTAGGTACCACCACTCTGCCTGTTTCTGCCGTGAAGCAGTAATGCGTTTCGGTTTAAAAAGCGGGGCAGCCGTTGTACTGTTAAAATTTTGAGACCTTACAAATCATGTCTCAAGGTGTGTGGCGGCATTTACGCTGTAGATGTCTATGGGCCCATCGATCGTAGATCGTTTGATGGGCCGCTCCATAAGGGCGCACAATATTTTGTCATCAGTCATGGCTCCTCTTCACAATCGGCCATGATGGGCGATTATAGAAATTTACGATAGTGTAGAGGGCATAAATGTGTGTGATCGGCCAACATCGCGTATGATCGTGCGCAATCGGTGTTGTGTGGATAGGTAGATCAAAGGAATGATGGCCCATGATTGTGTGAGCGTCCACACCATCGCCGATTAGTTAGGATGTAGTTGTCTCAAGTGTGTGTCAATTGTCTCGACTACAAAACTATGGTTGCATGGACCTTGTTTTGTTCCAATTGATTGGCACCCACCCACCATTATCTCTTCCTCCATCTTGTTTATCATTATCGGTAGGCAGCGGCTTGGCTCTGCTTCTAGCATTGCTGAAGTCCATGGGCGACGGTAACTACTCATCATCAGGTAGGCTGTATGCTCGTCTGTCTACAAGGGCAATAAAAAAAAGTTTTCACGATTCTTTGTTCGCGCACATTAACTAAATGACTATATGAGCTAACTAAAAATATTGCCGCAGCCGCGATCTCCTCGATTTCCATCATCGATACCTAGACGTCTTAACATATCAGTAGACAGTCAGTAAATGAACGTTCACGATTGTGTGGACAGTTGCCCGATCATGGCGGCGATGATGAACGATCATTTGTTGGTTTGTTGGCCCATCATGGCCGATTGTGAAGAGGAGCCATCAAAGAGGTGCACGCACAACTCTTATCTTAGTACGCGACAAGTGCATGTTGTGAGTGGACGAGTAGGTACATTAAAAAATAATTTTACTTTTTTTCGTGTTTAACCATTTAATTATGCCTTCGTGTTCATTTTGGAAGTGTAAAAACACAAGCCGAAACACAAATAAAGACGAAGGTGTTACTTTTCATGCGTAAGTATTTGTAAAGAATTTAATTTGATTTATTTCAAACACACGTCTCGAGCGGCTTAGCGGGATGAAGGAGAGGCGTGAGGGGTGGAGAAGCGACCGGCTGCCAAAGATTATATACTAAACAGAGCGGTTAAAGTTCTGAAGTAACTCTATACGTTCGTTTTTGTGAAACTGGAATTGAATATTTCATATTTACTTTAAAATAGCATTGACGTAATTACCTTTATTATGAGTTACTTTTGTTCTTATTTTCTTAATTTTAAATGTATAGGTACCAAATATATCATTAGGTATATTTTTATACAGTACAGATTAGCTTTTATAGCCCGGGAGTTGGCTACAAAGTATGCGAACATTTTTTTGTTAATTTTAGTTTCCCTCAAGATCCGCGAGTTAAAGAGAAATGGATTGAAGTAATTAAACTTGAACGGAAGGAGGATGACTGGCTACCGACCAATTGTAGTAAAGTATGCTCTGATCATTTCACACAAAATGAGATCTTTATTACGAAAACGGGGAGACGTAAAATTATAGCTTCCGCTATTCCAGCCTTTCAGGTACATTTCGATTTTTATATATTTTTTTGTTATTTCCATGTAATAATTTTTAATCCGATTTAGTTGTAATTACTCTTTTTTTTCAGCCACTGCCAATCAATGCTTTTGATGACAGGGAAGGATCGCCGAATGTATTTATTTCTGATAATGATTCTATATTCGACAGTCCAAAGGAAATTTCACTCAAAAGAAAAATCAAAATTATAGAGAAGAGACAGTTACAGTATAAGAAAGACCTCCTTAAAGTTAAACGACAAAATAAAAATTTGAAAAAACAAAATATTACTCTGAAAGAAACTTTAAAAATTTTTAAAAAGAAACTAAAGGGCATGGGCCATTTTCGGCCCAGCTACTCGTGCTCTCAAGGACATTAATGAAATATCTATAGGAAAAAACATTTCATTTTACATACTTATTATAAAATTTAAGGGTATTTTAATGGTGGGATAATTAAAATCATAATTAAAAAGAAATTAGCATGACTAAGCTACATTGATAATATTGATGGAGTTGCCATATGTAAAATATATTTACATTTTAAACAATTTAGATTAAATCTTCTTAAAAAAACATTATATTTCAAAAAAAAAACATATTATATTTTGTTGTAATATAAAGTATATTATAGTACATATAAATATATAGTAATATAAATAATATTTAAGCTGATGCTGATGTTAAAGTGTCACTGTATTGACAGCAAAATCATATGATATAACCTAAAATTCTTATCTTATTTTTTAAATATCTCTGTATCCCCATGAACAATATTGATTTTAATTTGTTTATAATAAAAGGGATATACCTAGTCAGGTCATAAATTCTGTCACATGTTTAATGTAAAATAATTGAAACAAGTTTATTCATTATGTAACCATTCATATACCAAAATGATTCTTATAACACTAAAGTTTATTCAAAATGACCTCCGTGATTTTGAATACAGTCCTTCAATCTGCGCGGCCAGTCGTCTATCGCAGCACGAACGAGGTCCATGTCAATATCGGCGGCTGCGTTAATCAAGGATGTCTTGAGTGACCCCAAATTGGGATGAGGCTTTGAGCACGTCTTTTCCTCCAAGTGTTGCCATATCTTGTAATCTAACGGATTCAAATCTGGACTGGAGGAGGGACAGTCTTCGTGCCGGATGAAGTCGATTTCACGCGCCGCCAGCTAGTCTTGTGTGCTCTTCGCTCTATGAGCTGGCGCCGAATCTTGTTGGAATACCCAGTGCCTGTTATTGAACATGGCATGAGAAACAGGTTCCACAAGGTTCGTCAGGACTGTATTTTGATACACAAATGCATTCGTTTTTACACCTTTCTCACAAAAATGTACCTCTGTTAAGCCCCAATAAGAAACTCCCAACCATACCATGAGCGAGGATGGTAAATGACCTCGTTGGACACGCGGAATACGGTTGCTCGCTTCTTCACTACTGTGTGCGTACATCTTATCAGTTTGTTTGTTGTAGCTCTCTTCTACGGTAAAAATTTATTCATCCGAAAAAAGAATTTCCCGATATTTTTTTCCCGCGTACCGCTTCAACAAAGCGCGGCATCTCTTCAGTCTCAGGTCCATTAGACGAGCATTCAAACGATGTCCTGTTTTTCTTCGATATGCCCGAAGCCCTAAGTCTTCATTTAGCATCCTTTTCACCGTGGTTCTGCTTAACCCCATCTGAAGGGCCAACAGTTTCTGCTTACGTTTGGGATTTCTTTGAATTCGCGCCTTCACAGTTTTTATCACTGCTGGAGTCCTAACAGACCGAGGGCGACCACTTCTTGACCTGTCATCTACACTAGAGTCTT